ATCTTGTATTATGGTAAGTTTCTTAAATATAATGATGATTTATTTGACTTTTTGTATTTCATGGATACGTATGTCACAGGCACTTTAAATAGTTTTAAGTAAATTTCTTTCTTTGATCTTTCTCTCAAATCCACCAGAATTACCTTTAAAGTGCCCGTGACATGCGTATTCAAATACAAAAAGTGAAAGAAAACATCTTTATATTTAAGAAAGTTGAAATAAAACACATGATTTAACCCATTTTGTCTCATAACTGGCTTTTCTTTTGAACTTGGCTCAAACAAACTGAAACAGGAAGTGACATCAAAGGGGAACTCTTTAACAAAGAAAACTCTGGTCTGTTTATTGAAACATTATTTGAACTCTGACTCTTCTCTTTCTGATAGGATACTGAGTCATAATAATCTTAAACATCAGATTCTTCTCTACAGTCTGTGTTGTTAGCCATTAGTTAGCCAACTGTTCACACGCAGACACTCCCCTTTGACATCACTTCCTGTTACTTCACATGCAAATATCTCAGCAACTGTTCATCTCAGTGACATGAAATTTCTTTTTCCATATTTTATCAATGTCCACTTTCTAAAAATGCATTCATATGTGTAACAAAAATTTGACGTCACAGACACTTTAAAGAATTTGAATACAACAAAATGAGAATTAGAAAATACTTCAGTTTTACTGGTTTTTATGAAATTCATTATAAACTATACAGTATTTTGTTTACAGAATATAGTCTTTTCATTTGTCCTGGTGTGTAAAAATAATAATGAATAATAAAATTTACAGTATATTTTTTAGTTTTGTAAAGGTTGATGACCACAGTTGTAGCTTGTTTTGCAGCTCTGGAAACATGTTATTAGTGAGTTYAGGAGCAGAAACGGCTCTTTTGATGGTGAAGGCTGCAGACGCCTGTCCTAACTGCTCAGGTTTCTGTGTGCAGAGCTGCTGTCTGTGGACGAAGACATGGACACCGTGAAGAACCCTCTGCAGGACGTGACAGCTGGACTGTTGGACAGCTCGGGGCAGCAGCTCCCCCTGCAGGCCGTCCACGTGAGGTGCAGACTGATGGATCTGCTCTCTCAGGTGAAGCAGCAGCAGCAGCTCCTGGTTTAGGCTCTGATGCTTTCCTTTTAGATTAAAGGTCAGATTCTTGTTTCCTGTCAGGTGATTATTTTCCAGAAGTACACTAACCTGAGCTCCGTGCCCATCGAGGCCAAGTATGTCTTCCCCCTGGATGATGCTGCTGCCGTGTGCGGGTTTGAAGCCTTCATCAACGGGAAACACGTGGTGGGACAGGTACGGTAACCAGKTGGAGACTGGTTTCTCCTGGCAGACTTCCTCCTCATCCTTTTACTTTTTCGGCCACATTTTAGCCATCGAAAAAGAGTGGAGCTGTTTTTATCATCATTAAAATCCTTCAAAATGTTTCTAAATCTTTACCTTACACCAGTTGTTCTGCTCRTGCTCTTTTTAACTTCCTTGTGCTAATTTTAGCTACTTATTTGTTAATTTTAGCTCATTTTTTGGTCATTTTGCTCCTTCCTGCTACTTTGAGCTATTTCTGCTTCTTACAGCTGCTTTCTACTAGATTCAGCTATTTGCTGCAATTTTAACTAGTGTTCAGCTGTTATTAGCTAAAGTTAGCCTTTATAAGCTAATTTCACATTTRTGTGGCTATTTCAGTTTATTTCTGCTTAGTTCAGCAACGCTTTCTTATGCTAATTTAGTAATTTCCTGCTACATTTTAGCTGCTTTACAGCACAATTGGGCTTTTTTAGCTATTTTACAACAAATTGTCACTTTTTTATACTTTATGGGATATTTTTTCTGCTAATTTGACATGTTTTGCACCCTTTGCACCATCTGGGTGCTAATTTCAACTTGTGTCTGCTGCCTTTAGCTTGTTTTTATGCTAACTTTAGCTTTTTTTCTTCTGTTTCAGCTATATTTCTAATGTTTTCTACAGTTTTTCTAAAAAGTTAAACATTTCTTGCTTCTTTCAGTTTTTCAGATTGAACTTTAACAGTTTTACTATTAAACCTTTTCAGCTCCTTTTCAGCAGCTTTCAGCTGAAGTTTTCAGCAACAGGCGTTCACACCAGTTTTTTGTTTAGTTTCATGTTGGACTGATGTCCAGATGTTGGACTGATGTCCAGGTGTTGGACTGATGTCCAGGTGTTGGACTGATGTCCAGGTGTTGGACTGATGTCCAGGTGTTGGACTGATGTCCAGGTGTTGGGCTGATGTCCAGGTGTTGGACTGATGTCCAGGTGTTGGACTGATGTCCAGGTGTTGGGCTGGTGTTGGACTGATGTCCAGGTGTTGGACTGATGTCCAGGTGTTAGATTGATGTCCAGGTGTTGGACTGTCCCCTGGTCTTCTGTCTGTGGTTTTCAGGTGAAGGAGAAGGAATCGGCTCGACGGGAGTACAGACAGGCCATAGAGAAAGGTCATGGAGCCTACCTGATGGACCAGGACGCTCCTGTGAGTGCTCCAACATTCTGCCTGTAGCTCCTCCTCCATCCTGCTGAACCACTCCCTCCTCCTGTCTGCAGGACGTCTTCACCATCAGCGTGGGCAACCTGCCGCCTGGAGCCACCGTTCTCATCAAGGTGACCTTTGTGTCGGAGCTGGTGGTCCGAGACGGAAGCATCCTGTTCTCCCTGCCGGGGAGCGTGGCTCCGTGGCAGGAGAGCGCCGCTCTCAAACAGACCACGCAGGTAGGAGGAGCCTGGGCTGAGGGGGCGGGGCTTACAAACCCGTTGGAAGGTTTTTTTCTTTAATTCTTGGTGATAAAGCCAGTCGTGTCCCTCAGGTGTCTGTGCAGAAGGTTTGTGTGACGGATGAAGCCTCCAGCAGCAGGTGAGCCTCACCTGTGCTCTTCAGTCGTTAGTAAATGAGCTCAGACAGACATAGTGTTTATTTTCTGTCCTTTATTTATTTACTTTTATTTATTTTATTTCTTACTTCAGGGATTTCTCGTTGGACATGTCGGTTGAGATGCCCAACAAGATCTGGGAGCTGCGCTGCATCACTCATCAAGTCAAGATGAAGGTCTCTGACCTTTAACAAACATCATGGTGTCGTCTGCATATTGTGACATATTTTACAGATTTTATCCTCTTCTGGGTCCAGATCCACAGACCCACAGACCCACAGATCCACAGACCCACAGGTCCACAGGTCCACAGACCCACTGACCCACAGATCCACAGACCCACAGATCCACAGACCCACAGATCCACAGACTCACAGATCCACAGACCCACAGATCCACAGACCCACAGGTCCACAGATCCACAGATCCACAGACCCACAGATCCACAGACCCACAGATCCACAGATCCACAGACCCACAGATCCACAGATCCACAGACCCACAGATCCACAGGTCCACAGATCCACAGACCCACAGACCCACAGACCCACAGATCCACAGATCCACAGACCCACAGACCCACAGACCCACAGACACACAGATCCACAGATCCACAGATCCACAGATCCTCAGATCCACAGACCCACAGATCCACAGACCCACAGACCCACAGATCCACAGACCCACAGATCCACAGACCCACAGATCCACAGACCCACAGACCCACAGATCCACAGACCCACAGATCCACAGACCCACAGATCCACAGA